GGGATTAGGTCGAGAAGCGAACGGTCTCCAAGCTGGGCGGCGCGAGCCGCGGGCCGCGGCCTGAGTCAGGATAGGGCCTGGGCCACCTGGCCTCGTGTTTCGCGCCGCACTCGGCGCGGCGGCTTTGCATGTCCATCCTGGCCCTGCTTCTGTCGGCCTGCCCCATTCCACTCCGCACGGGTCGAGGCAGGGTGCAGCGTGGACCAGAGGAGTTTGATATTACAGTCGGACCTAGGACAGAAGACCATCCTTCAAGAACATGAGACCATCCGCTGGCCAAAACACAGAACGTCCAAGGATACCTTCCCCAGGATGCACGATAACATCCAACAAACACGAATAACATTGGGGCACCCTCCCCGAACCGACCTCGATGTTACACATCGGTCCGACCATATGTGCTTCAGTCCTTGATTGAGGCATGATGGTACCCAGGCCACCTAGCCTCGCCCTCCGCACCGCACGCTGCGCGCTCACCGCGTTATACCTCGTGTTCTCGCGATGCCCCCCCAGAAGGACTGGCCTTCTGGGCCCAAGCGGCACATGCGAGGGGCGAGACTTCTCTGCACGCCCACGCCGATGGGAGGAACGAGCCCAAGACAGCTCTGAAGCGGGAGACCAGAAGGATCACAGAGAACAGGTTGCATGGTGTGGTGGCACGCACATGACTGGGGGGACGAACACTCACATAAACATAACAACTCGGAGGTACGCGCGGATTTCTCGGATCGGTGTTGGACCCCCCCTCCCTAGCGCGCGGAGCGCGCCAGAGGCGGCGCCTGAGGCGCCGCCAGGGGGGTCCAGCGCGGATCCGAGAAATCCGCGCGGACGTCCGAGTTGTTATGTTTATGTCATTGCTCGTTCCCCGAATGGTGTGGTGGCACGCACATGGCGATCCATCCTCCTCCTCCTCCTCCTCTACCTCTCCTCTTCCTCCCTCCTCCATCCTCCTCCTCCTCCTCCTCCTCCTCCTCCTCCCCCGTCTTCCAGTCTAGAACGATGGCAATCGACGAGCCCTGGCAGCTGCGGACGGGGGGGAAGGGGGGCCAGGGGGGGCAAAAATCGCAGGAGCAAGGCGGATCAGGGGTGCGTGCGCGTGCGTATACACTGTTGTGGGGGCTTCTGGGGGACCGCGTGCCACTCCTCTCCGCGGGGGAGGGGGCGGGAGGCTGGGGACGAACTCGGGGCGCCGACGCTCGGAAAAACAGGGGCGTGGGTGGGTCGCGCCGAGGCGTGGTGTACCAGACCTCGGGGCACGACGCGCTGGGCCGTAGATCTTTCAACATATAGCATACGAACAAGAATGGAGAAGCGAGAGAGAGAGAGAGAGACAGAGAGAGAGAGAGAGACTGAATAGAGAGAGAGAGAGAGAGCGAGAGAAAAAAAAGAGAGAGGGATTCCAAAAGCGATGTAGACAGCAGCGATCTCGCGGCGGTGCAAATCCAGGGACCACCAGGGAGAGAGAGAGAGAGAGAGAAGAGAGAAGAGAGAGAGAGAGGAGAGAGAGAGAGAGAGAAGAGAGAGAGAGAGAGAGAGCAGGCCGCACACCTTGCCAGCGGGATGACCTTCGTGGAGTCCAGCCTTGCTGGCAGGCTGGCGTGCCTTGGCTGGCAGCAGAGCGCTGCAACAAGAAGCAGCAGCAGAGGCATGGCGATGGCAGGCCGCTGCAGCATCAAGAACTAGCAGCAGGGCGCTGGCAGCAGGGCCGCTGCAGCAACAAGACCTCGCGGCAGGGTGCCAGCAGCAGGCCAAGGCTGACGAACGGACAACACGCACCCATACCCATAGGGGGGTCGTTGGGAGGAGGACTGGCTATGGGTATGGGTTTATGGGTGCGGGTTGTCGGACCCGGGGGAGCGATCCCGTTCGAGCGGGGACCCCCATCCGACAACACGCACCCATGGCCCTCTCCGATCCCCCCATGGGTATGGGTGTGTGTGTGTTGTTGGTTCGTCAAAGGCAGGGCGCTGCAGCAACAAAGACTGGCAGCAAGACGTCGGCATCAGGGCCGCTGCCGCAACAATGGCCCGAGCCGGCAACCGCGCGCTGCAGCAGGGCGGGGAGGGCGAGGTGCCGAATGCCCGCGAAACGAGCGGGTAACCTTCACATGCTGGGCTGCTCGGCGGGCGGATCAGCGGACGAGACGAGCACGCGCCGTGCCAGGCAGACTGCCCAGCCAGGCTAGGTGGCGACGGTCGGGTCGGGACGGGACGAGGAAGTCTCGGCACCCGCGCCGACCGCCGCCCTCCCTGGATGGAGAAGGCTCGTGGCGCGGGGCTGGCTGACGGAGGACCGAAAAACGGCCCGACTGAGCTTGGGCCATGGAGCTTCCTCAACAAGGCAGAGCCCAGGAGCAATCCACTTCTCCAACGCACGTCCAACCTTCACTGACCCCGCGCCTGAGCTTAATTAAGCTCAGCCAAGGGAGTAGTTCGAAACTGAACTAGGCCACAAGTCCATCCTTAATCGATCCCAAAGCAGTCCCTGGAAGATGCCGCCACAACGTGATTTCAAGACCTTCGAAACCGCACGCGGTGGTCATGCAACAAGTGCCATGTGGGAGGAGCCACTTCTGTACGATATGGCGCAATGTGGCCTTGGCCTTGCGCGCACCCGCTCATAGACAAACAGGCCCCAGAGCTTCAAGGGCTCATGGAAATGCAAGACAACGGGGACCATGACCAAGAAGGAACGCGGAAACGCCGTACCGATCCTGGTCACCGTCGATCTCGGTCAGCGCCATCTCGTGGATCAGCCTCGCGCCTCGGCGGCGGCCGACCTATGGACCGTGACCAAGGTCGGCATCGACTGGATACCGCACCATCCTGGCCATGGCCCCCCGCGCTTCCCCCCTCGAGCTCGGGTGGGTTGGCTCACGCGGGCCTCGAGGACACGGCTACCCAGCAAGCGCCCCGACGTCGGACACTGTAAAGAGGAGGAGGAGGAGGAGGAGGAGGAGGAGGAGGAGGAGGAGGAGGAGGAGGAGGAGGAGGAGGAGGGAGGAGGTAGGAGGAGGAGGAGGAGGAGGAGGAGGAGGAGGAGGAGGAGGAGGAGGAGGAGGAGGAGGAGGAGGAGGAGGAGGAGGAGGAGGGAGGAGGGAGGCGGTGGAGGAGGAGGAGGAGGAGGAGGAGGAGGAGGAGGAGGAGGAGGAAGAGGAGCAGGATGGGGCCGCGCGGAGGGGCCCTTGCGCGGCGGCGCCCCTTCTGCGCGACGGGGTGCCTCCGCGCTGCCCTGGCGCTGCCCGAGCTCCTCTTGGCCGGCAGGACGGCGCCGGGGTGGGGCCCTGTCCCTCGGGTGGGCACGTGTTCCGTACAGTAGAGGCTCGGCCACGAGAACCCTTCCGCAGGAAGCCCAACCCTGAGGCCCCAGGACGTCCATCGATGTTCGGCGTGGGGGCGCCACGCGTTCCCAAGGCAAGGCCAGCGGAACCCCGGAGAAGCCCGGGGCGCCCTGGAGGCAAGCAGGGTGCTTCTTGGCATGAGTTTCCACTGTGCATTATGTTGTCCAGTCCCAATGGTCTGACACGCTGGAGGCGAGTGGAGACGAGAGGAGAGGAAAAAGAGAAGGAGCAGGAGGAGGAGGGCTCTACAAGGCCAGCCAGTACAGACTTGGCGAGCATAGCCCATCAACGCCCCACAGCAGGCAACACACAAACTGCATACTGCGTCAGCCGCCTGCATTTATTGGTTTGCTCATCATCCCACTGCTCAAAGGCCAGCGACTATCTACGTACGGGTGGCGGGAGGTTCGGGACCGGCGGCAGGCTTTCCGACCAGCTAGCTACTAACAGGCCAGCCAGACGGTCTCAGCCCATGGCCTGCAGCTACACATAGCTGCTGTTGAACCCTGCAGGCTTGCACGCACATTTCGTCCTCTTTTTCGGTCGGTACCTCCTCGCACTCAGGTTGCCGTGCTGTTTCGCTTCGGTCTCCCTCACTCCTACCTGCACTGCGTGGCCAGCGTATGCTTTCTGCCTTCGGGCCTACTTCCGTGTTGCCTGTCTCTCTCTCTCTCTCTTTCTCTCTCTCTCTCTCTCTCTCTCTTGTCGTGCCATCGAATCTTCCACGCTGGCCTCGCTGAAACTGTCGCCACCAGGGTCCAAGTCGGATCGCTGGACCTGTCGTTCTGCCACTGCCGAACGCAACAAGCTCAGCACCTGATGTTCACCTGGCGTCCAAACAAGGAGGAGGTGGGGAAGCAGAAGCAGCAGCCCTGCACGAGCGCAGCGCCGAGGCCGGACGCTGCGAGAGGCCGAGCGAGGATCTGCCCCTCGGGCGGGCGCCGCGAAGCTCGAGAGGTGGATCCGGCATGCCCAGTGGCCCTCGGATGCAGCCGGGCTGCTGCAACGAGGAACGCTACACGGGTGACATCGGAAACCCTTAACCCGAAAACGTGTTCATCTCTTGGGTGCACATCTTTTACTTCCGCCGCCTTCCGCCGAGCTTCCGCCGGCTTCCGCCGGCGGAGGCGGCCTCGTCTTGCTTCTGCCGACCTTCCGCTGCCCTTGCGCGGCCTTCCGCCGCGGAAGAGATGGCAACTCCTTCCATCCTCGAAGGCGAGGCCTTTTCTGAAGCGCCCCACATAATGAACGAAGCCCCTTTTTGGCCCCAGAAGTGCTTGGGCGCAGGAGGAGGGCTAGAGCAACAGCCTCGGCGGTCCTCATTTCAGCGTCTTGGCTGTACGGCAAGATATGTTCTGCCGTCCGCTGTGGGCGACGACAGGGAACGGGTCTTACGCGAGATGACATAGCGAGCTCACGCGGCAGCTTAGCGGACCGCCGCCAGCGCGGCATGCTGCACTGGAAGCGAAGGCGCCTACACGCGACCTTACGCAGGCAGGTTACGCGCCAATGACGGTGAAAACGACCCCCTTTTCTCTGCGTCGCTCATGTCTTCTTATGGTTATCATTCTCTCAAGGATCCGAATCGGATCGAAGTCCCAGCTGACTCTGGGCCAGGGGCTGCCGAATCCAGGCGCACGAGGTTTTCTGTTCGTCCTTATCAGGCCTCGTCGGGCGGCTTACCATAATGGTAGCCCGGAGTCTTACATGGCCAGCCCAGTCGATGCAAGATCAACCTGGCAATCTTTTGCCCACCGATCACGCTAGGCTCAACGCGCTGGCAGTAATCTTCGGTACATCGGCCGTCCAAGGCATCTCCCAAGAAGATGGGCACAACCTCGCTGCCTGGCACACGAACCCTGGAAGTGCCCAGTTCAAACACCACGCGCAAGCGTCGTTGTAGCAAGCCGGGGAAACAACAATAACACAAGGCGCAAAGCGCTGGATTCGCCCATGAGTTTCCATTCCGCTCGTCCAGGTGGTAGATCATGCACACGGCAATCTTGGAGGGCGTGGTCTTCGCAGTGAGCTCATGGGCGTAGCACTGGACCTGGAATCTAAACATGAAAACAAAGTACGCCACGGCGGGATTCAAAGTGCACAGCGTAAACCACGGGGACAACATCAGCAGCACGATTGCGATCGCTGTGAAAACGGATGGCGCGAGCGCGATGTCGTTCCCGCCTATAGATATCACGAGCATGTCGCTGGGCCGGATACGATCCCGCAGCAGCAGCTCCTGCTCGTAGAGGCCCCCGCACGAGGGCACCACGCAGCACTCCACGCCCCCGACCCGGCTCGCCAGGGTGGTGGCTTCCAGCGCCGTGTTGACGGCGAAGGCTTAGGTCGGGCGTGTCCTCCCTGCAGGCGGATTTTGGACGAAAAATGAAGAGAAACTCCAGAATAGTCGAGAAGAAAGCATCGCCCCAACGCTATATTTTGACTATGTTTGAATAGTCCTCCTATAGAGGGACAGGCCCGACTTAAGCGAAGGCATCGGCGCCGAGGTCCCACAGTATCTGGTTCATCCAGTACGTGACGTCGCAGACCATGCGGGGAGGGCTCAGCAGGAACTCGTAGCCGTTCCTGGCGGGCGCGTGGGCGGCCCCAGGGCGCCAGCGCTCCGCAAGCGCGCCCTGGTTGAAGAGCCACGCCTTGTTGTCGAGGGACGAGTCCCCGGCCAGGAAGATGGCCGTGGCGCATTCGCCGGGAGGGCAGACGAGAGCCCGGATCTCCGACGGCACGATCTGTCATCCCCGTCTTCTCCTCCTCCTCCTGCTCCCCCTCCTCCTCGTCCTCCTCATCCTACTCCTCGTCCTCCTCCTCCTCCTCCTCCTCCTCTCCTCCTCCTCCTACCTCTCCTCCTCCTCCTCCCTCCTCCTCTCCCCCCCTCTCCTCCACACTCTCCTACTCCTCCTTGCCTCCTTCCTCCTCCTCCTCTTCCTCTCGCCTCCCTCGTCCTCTCATCATCATCATCATCTCTCATCATCATCATTAGCATCAGCATCGCAATCATAGTATCACCACCATCACACCATCATCATCATCATCATCATCATCACCATCACCATCACCATCACCATCACCATCATCATCATCATCATCATCATCATCATCATCATCATCATCATCATCATCATCATCATCATCAGCATCAACATCAGCATCAGCATCATCATCAGCATCAGCATCAGCATCATCATCAGCATCATCATCATCATCGTCATCATCGTCGTCATCAGCAGCAGCATCAGCAGCAGCATCATCAGCATCGTCATCATCAGTATCATTATCATTATCAGAACAATCAGATCATCATCATCATCAGCAGCATCATCATCGTCAGCATCAGCAGCATCAGCATCAGCAGCAGCATCAGCATCATCATCATCATCAGCGTCATAATCAGCATCATCAGCCTCATCATAATCACCATCATCAGCATCATAATCATCAGCAGCAGCATCATCAGCATTATCAGCATCATCATCAGCATCATCAGCATCATCAGTAGCATCATCAGCATCATCAGCATCATCAGTACCAGCATCAGCACCATCATCATCATTATCATCATCAGCATCGTCACCATCATCATCACCAGCAGCATCATCACAGCCTCCTCCTCCTCCTCCTTCCTCGTCCTCCTCCTCGCACCGGCACGCTTTTGACGTGTCTGCTTCCTGGCTCGTTGGAATGACCTGTCTTGCGTGTGCGCCGTGTGGGCGCCTGGCTGCGTGAGCGCGTGTGCTGTGTATCACGGAGTTCGTGCGCTGGGGCCCGTTGTCGGGCCCGGGGGCCCCCTAAAAATGGATCCAGGACGCAGCGCTGCCCCACGGGGAGCTCCGGGGCCTGAGGCTGCAAAACCAGATCGCAAGATGTCTGGGAGCAGCGGCCACAAGCCTTGGACGCCGCCGGGGCGGCAGGCCACACCTGTTCTGCCGGCGCCTGGCCCCCTCCCTGCGCCGCTCCCTGGCGCGCGAGGCGCGCGGGGGTGGAGCGGAGTAGAGCGGAGCCGAGCGGAGCCGAGCGGAGCCGAGCGGAGCAGAGCAGAGCAGAGCGGAACAGAGCGGAGCAGAGCGGAGCAGAGCGCGCAAGTCCGCTGGAGCGGGGCCCTTGAGTCGGGCGGCTGGTAGTGGGGGGTGCTCTACATGGCAGCGAAGGGCCATGAGGGGCCCTGTTTGGGGCCCCTGCTGGTTCCAAAAGAGGCCCGACGAGGCCCCATCTGAGGCCCTTTTCTCCACCCTTCAATTTGGGTCACTCCCCCCACTACCACTCGCCCGATTGAGGGTCGGCGCGGGCGTAGGGGAGAGTGAGGAGGAGGAAAGGAGGAGGAGGAGGAGGAGGAGGAGGGGAGGACCACGAGGAGGTAAGAGGAGGAGGAGGACGGAGGGGAGGAGGAGGAGGAGGAGGAGGGGGAGGAGGGAGGGAGGGGGAGGAGGAGGAGCAGGGAGCAGGTAGCGGAGGGGGAGTGCGGCGAGAGGAGGAGGGAGGACGAGGAGGAGGATGAGGAAGAGGGAGGAGGAGGAGGAGGAGGAGGAGGAGGAGGAGGAGGAGGAGGAGGAGGGGGATGAGGAGAGGGCGGGGAGGAAGAGGAGGGAGGAGGAGGAGGAGGAGGAGGAGGAGGAGGGAGAAGGAGGAGGAGGAGGAGGAGGTGGAGGAGGAGGAGAAGGGGCCCTGACACGACGGTGTCGTAGACGCTCCTCCATGCGCGCAGGGGGGTGCGGCTCCGAAAGAGAGCGCCGCCCTCGGGGTGCGGGGCCGGGGTCGCGGGCGGAAGGCGTAACTCCGTCAGCACGGCCTCCTCGCCGAGGCCGCGGCCCCGAGGCCGCGGCCCCGTGGGTGCGGGGCGCCGTCTCTCGGCTGCCCCCGCGCGGAGCGTGTCCACAGGATCGCGCCGCGTCCCGCAGGGACCGCGGCCCCGCGGACCCCGTGCGCGAACGTGTTCTCATTCGGCGTTGCGGCACTGGGCGGAAGGCTGGGGGGGAGGAAAGCGGGGGGGTCTGGCTCCGTACCTCTGCTTCTAGCGCGACTGTCTGCAACCGTGCGTCCTATGGGGGGAGACTCCGCCTCCTCGAAACAGGCGCCAGAAATAACCAAGGTTTGGGGAACGAAATATGACATAAGCCTCGGAGGTCCGCGCGGTTTTCTTGGATCCCCGCTGGACCCCCCTCCCTAGCGCGCGGAGCGCACCAGGGGCGGCGCCAGAGGCGCCGCCAGGGGGCCCCAGCGCCGATCCGTGAAATTCGCGCGGAACTTCGAGTATGTTTATGTCATTGCTCATTTCTCTACTGTGCGGAGCCTCTCCGCGCGGCCGCGTATAGCCAAGGCACCGCGCGCCCCAGGATCCAGACCGCGAGATGGATCGCGACCCCGTGGACCCCGTGGGTGCGGGGCGCTGTTCTCGGCTGCCCCGCGCAGAGCCTATGCCGCGCGACCGCGTGGCCACTCGGCGGCAAGCGAGGGGGCGAAGTGAGAATGAGGAGATCTTCTCAGAAGACTCGGAAGTCCCCCCGCCTTCTGCCAAGTTTCCTGAGCCTCCCCCGAAGACATACCAAACAACTCTCACAAGGCCAGGGGGCTTCTGAGGAGTGCCGCCGCCCTCTCTCCCCCCTCGCTCGCCGCCGATCCACGGCACCGCGCGCCCTGGAAGCCGGGCTCTGCGAGAGGGGGCGGTGGGGGCCGGAGACGCGCCCGCCGCCCCCGGGGATGCGTGGGGGGCGGCCCTGCGGTGGCTGCCCTCCCCCCCCCCTCGCGCCAGAGGCGGCTCACTGTGCCGAGGGTCGGTTTGGGGGGCCCGGCCGTCGAAGACTCACAGGAAGCCCCCTTGTCCGAGCAGCAGGGGATCGGCAGGAGAAGCCACGCACCCCAAAGATGGGATTGCCCGTCGGAGCTAACGAGGCATGCCCACACGACTCTGTAGATATGCTGGCTGGGCTGCGCAGTTTCTCAGGAGGTCCAGAAGTATCGCAGGCCTAGAGATTGACACCAACACCAATTTCGGCGGTTTGCCTCCACCGAGGGAAGAAGAAGATCCCGATCTCGGCGATGGTGGTAATATTCTGGCTTCCAAGGTGGCCGAACTATTACCACCAACACCGAAAAACTAGGATCACCTTCCCCCTGTGGAGGCAACCCCCTGTCTTGGTGTTGGTGCCAATTTCCAGGCCTCCGAAAGTACAGAAGTTCTGGGGTAAATCAATTCTGTAGGCGATCCCCCACACGAGCTTTCACAGAACGTCTTTTTTATGGAAAACAGCTAGGGGCACTCCACGTACGCACGTCACCGCATTCCGAATGCACTCCAGCAGGGTAGCTCATCGACGTCCCCACAGAACGAAGGTATCTTGCGAAACGCACGTCGATTGGCGAAACCAACTGGTAACTGCACAAATACACTCGGAGGCCAATGGCAATTGACCCGTGCAAATTCCCTAAGTCGACTTTTCTTGGTGGGCGTTCTCTCAATGCCCTAGATAACTTGCCCTAGAGGCCGACATCGGGTGGAAAAACATCACGATTGATAAAAGCAGGCGGTCAAGAACTTGTGCTGATCGTGTCGCGGCGGCGGCCCCCCGCGACACCGTATGCCTTGCGAGCGAATAGCGTGTCGCTGCGCTCCCAGGGGTGGGAGGCCGAGAAAGGCTCGGGACGCGAATGCCTGAAGAACAGGACGTGGGCAGCGCGTGCTGGGCCAGGGCGGAGCCACACGCGAACCAACAGGTCCAGACCGTATCGTCGGAGGTCCCAGGGGGGGGAGGAGTCCGGCGCCCTCGTGGGCGTGCAGCCCGCAGGCCGTGCCCCGCTCCTGCCATCGCTCGCACGCCCGTTCCCCGTGCACCTGCCGGCTGCATGCCCTCCTGTGTTCCAAGCGATGCTCTCCAGGGTGCTCCTCGAGGGTCCTCGCCGAGAGAAAAAAAGGCATCACACGCCCGAGCGATGCCAGGCGCGGCGCCCCTCCTGACCCTCCCGGGGCTGCGGCGTGCGCCCGGCGCAGGGCGCCGAGCGCCTGCTCCAGGTGCCGCGCGCTGTGGCCGTGGTACGTCGCGTAGTAGGGGCCCGCGGGCAGCAGGCCCTGCTGCGCCGGCGGGCGCAGCTCGCGCCGGCCTGGGCCCAAGGAGTCCGGTGCTGCCGGGCCCTGAGGTCTGGGCGTCGTGTGTGCGAGTGCACGGGGTGGCGATGAAGGTGTGTGGGGGGGGAGGGAAGGTGGCCTGCTCGGGCCCCGAGGGCCCCCCTCTTGGGTCCCAGAGGGGCCCTCTGGGGGCCCTGAGGGGCCCCTTGTCTGCAGCCCTCGCTGCCCCCCCATGCATCGCCCCCCCATTCGCTCGCGCCCAAGGGCGTGTCGATGTTCTCACACCGGGCACTGTCGCCGGGTTTCGGGCCCTGGGGCCATCACGTGCCGATCTGGCTCGGGAAATGGCGCAGACAGATGTGGTCTAGGGCTCCAGTCGTGACCTTTTCGCGGTGTTGCATCTTTTGCGCAGATCTCGGGGGGGGGGCCCTGGCCCAGGGTCCCCAGAGTCCCGGGCTGCCTCCGAGCCCCAAGGGTCCCGTCGAGAGCTCGTGTGGGGTCGCTCGGGTTTTGTTCCCAAGACCCGTCGGGCTGCTGGATAGAAGTTGCACTTCTCTGTTTGTTCCTCTTCCTCCTCCTCCTCCTCCTCCTCCTCCTCCTCCTCCTCCTCCTCCTCCTCTTCCTCCTCTTCCTCATCTTCCTCCTCCTCCTCCTCCTCCTCCTCTTCCTCCTCATCCGATGCTATGCCCAGCACGTTCGTGACTTCACCCAGTCATCTCCGCCTCACCACATTGCCGACGCACCTGTGAGGCGCACGGCGTCTGCCTGTCCTCGGAGGCCCTGGGGCCTGGCCTGGATCTCGTGGGGGGGCGCTCTGGGGGCTCCTCTGCTGGCCATTGCTCGGACGTCCATTCCCTTGTTTTTTTCGGTTTCGTGCGTGGTTTTTTCTCCAAATGATCAAGGGGATGCTCTTCGATGGTCCTCGCCGACGAAAAAATGCACACGTCCGAGCGATGCCAGGGTCTGTGACTCCCCGGAATCCTGGGCACGCCTTGTGCCAGGGACACTCCTGGCAACAGCAGGACGGCGGGCTATGGCCCTGCCGTGGCGGCCTGCCGAAGGCTGCTGCTCCTGCTCGTCGGCCTGCTCGTCGGCCTGCGCCGGCCTTCCCAGGGAACACACCGTCGCGGGAGGAGCCGCGGCCGCCGCCATGGTGGAATGAGCACGGCGTGCGAGGCACGGTGCCTCCGCGGAATGGTATGTGCCGAGTGGCGCCGTGGCGACCGCCATGCGCAGCCCGCGTGGCAGTCCCTCGCACTAGCCTTCTGGAGAAGAAAAACTCAGTAGGCAAGCCGTTGGTAGAAAGTGGATCCTCCTCCTTAGTGCTGCACTGCTGCAATACTGGGCCACTTCTGGTACTACTCTGCTACTTCACAGTATTTTCCACATAGGCTTACCACTAAGAATCCTGACCCAATGGCCCTGATTGCCCCCATATAAGCGTCCTCTGTTGGGCATGGTTTCCTCTGTTGCACATAGCTTCCTCTACTATATGTATGATGTCCTAATTTGCCCTTACACGCGGCCTGTGCGGCGCATTGCTTCCTATGTTGCACATGGCTCCCTTTGCTATCCGCATGGTTTCCTTTGTACCCACATGGTTTCTTCTGCTATTTGCATGGCATATCCGCCAGGCTTCCTCTGCTATAACAATGGTTTCCTGTGGCTACCCCGATGGCGCCCCAACAACCTACAAATTCTAGTCAGACTCTGAAGTCGAGTCGAGCAGAATATAGTTGAGCAGAGTAGAGCAGAGTAGAGTCGCAGAAACATTGTAGATGCGTAGAGTAGAACAGAGCACAGCAGAGTACAATCTAACAGAGGAGAGGAGAGTAGAGTAGGAGTGAAGTGGAACAGGACTACACTAGAGTATAATAGGTAAACATAGACAAGGGTAGGTAGGGTCGGGTGGAGTAGAGCAAGGTAGAGTAGAGCATATTAGAGTCGGGTAGGTCGTAAAGCAGAGTTGGTAGAGTGGAGTAGAATCAAGCATAATTGAGTAGAGTAGAACAAAGAAGAGTGGAGCAGTTTGGAACGAGGTGGACTAAGGAAGAAGGAAGAATGAGGAACATCTCATAGAACTAGCGTCGGGGCAAGAGTAGAATTAGGGTATCTTAGAACGCAGTATACTGTAATCGTGTAGAGCAGACTGAAGGTTGGGCAGGGTGAGAGTAGACTAGGGTAGCCTGGCGCAGATCCAAGCACGACATTGTACGATATGGAGAAGTATGGTGAATGGTCGGGTAGAGTCGCACTGAACAGACTAGAGCAAATCAGAATAGAGCATAGCAGAATCGGTTAGAGTAGGGTCAAGTACGAATTGAAAAAAAACATAGAAAAACAGAATGGAGTAGGAGTCGTCAAAACTGAATGGGATTAAATATGAGCAGAGAAGGATAGAGTAGGGTGGTATATAATAACGTGGACAAGACTCGAGTAGAGTAGGATTGGTTAGAATAAACCAAGGCAGAGTAGAGTAGAGCATTCTAGAGCAGGGTAGATGGTGGCGCAGCGCCGGGCATAATAGAGTAGACTGGAGGAGTACAGAGAAAAAAGGTGTGGAGTAGACCCGAGCAGGGTGGGGTAAGAGTCAAGGGGGGAGTAAATTAGAGTGGAGTAGAGTAGAGTAGAGTAGCGTAAGGTAGAGTAGAGTAGAATGGAATAGAGTAGAATATACTAGAGCCAGGTGGAGTAGAAGTATAATAGAGTAGCGCAGAGAAGGACTACTTAGTTGTGAGAGCCAAGTGAGCCAGGCCGAAGGAGTCAGAGGGCGCCGCCTACTCCCACCCACTGCCCCACGACATAAGAATCAATTGCGGCACACCTTGGCCGAGGGATCGGAACGCGCCCCCACCCCGCATCAACGGGAGGCGACCGCGCGCGGCGACCGCTCCCGGACACCTTGGCGAAGAGAACGCTCCTATCCGCGCAGAAGGTCCCAGCACGTATTGGATGGACTGATTTTGCCCGCAAGGGCTCGTCGCGAGACGGAGGGCGCGCGCGCGGGCGCACCACTCAGGGAACGCGCGGCAACATACAGGAAACCGCCTACCATACCATGAAATACCTTCGCGCGAGCACGCGGCACCCGCAGTGGACGTGCAGGGCTGCGCTTCAAGTTGCCCCGCGCTGCAGGCCCACCGCGCGGATGCCTCGCAGTTCCGCGCGCGATGCGCAGCGCAGTGTACGCGAATTGCGCGCACGATTGCGCATGCCAGATGTGGACTCGAAGCGTGTGAAAAATCTCGAACTGAATTCCGAATTGAATGTCGAAATGAACTCCGGATGAATTCCTGAGGGCGCTCGAATGTGTAACTGACTGGTACCAAAAAATGAATCCAAAAGTTCATTCGGAACCCACTCCGAAATTCACCACGAAAGTCCACTCCAAAACCCTCTCCCTAATGAATTCAGGTATCTTCGAATTTCGGGGCGCGGCCTTGGGCAAGCGCAACCGTCCATGATTTGGCGAGCGCACAACTCTCGCGACATCTGCGTCGCGCGTCACGCCGTCGCACGCGACACTGCCGCGCATGGGCGCCCGAAAGCGGCGAAAACGCATGGGGCGCTCCGGCATCACCCACTGAGAGCATCCGACACCGATGAGCTGTCCGCAAGATAACAAAACATCGAAACTCACAAGCGCATGCATGTCTGCTGCCAAGACATACTGTCAGCCAGGGAAAATCAAACTCCACTTAGGATTCATTGCTGAGACTCACTAACCTGATTCCTACTCTGCGCGCCGCGCCAGCGCTGGAACGCAACCTCCGACACGGATGCGCACGGATCTTGGGCGAGAGCAGCGACAGCAGCGAGCCGCCCACTCACGCGGGGCCCCCACAAACGCGGGAACGCCAGAGATGCGCCGCGTCTCGGAGCGGGAACGCCGCTCTCGGGTGAACTCTGCGCGACGCCGCGGTGAGAGCCACATTCTCACACCGCCCGCGCGTCGACGAAACCACGCGCGGGCGGAATGCGCGCCGCTCCCGAGCTGGACGAAGAGGAGGAGGAGGAGGAGGGGAGGAGGAGGAGGAGGAGGAGGAGGAGGAGGGGGGGGAGGAGGAGGAGGCGGGGAGGAGGAGGGAGGAGGAGGAGGAGGAGGAGGAGGAGAAGGAGGGAGGAGGACGAGGAGGAGGAGAAGGATTTCAACAGGACCCCGTGCTGAAATGTCCCAGGGCGACGCACGACGAACGACCAGGGCGGCTGCTGCCTCCAGCAGCCATGGCAGCGCCAATGGTCTGGGCCATGCCCCCGCGGCGTGCTAAGCGCGCGAAACAGGACGCGCAAGGAGACCGTGCTCCGCGCGCCCTGTTCGGGGTAGGGGGCGCCGGAGTCCGTGCTCCGACGACCAACCTACCCACCACCCACTCCATGGGTGGCCGCTGGCGACGAGAGCAATTTTCTCTCCCCTTGGCCCAAGGCCTCCTACGGGCAAACAAGGGTGACGAACGGACTGCTACCCGCCTGTTTTCCTGGGAGGGGGCCCCAGTGGCACAGGTGCCTAAGAGGAGGAGGAGGAGGAGGAGGAGGAGGAGGAGGAGGAGGAGGAGGAGGAGGAGGAGGAGGAGGAGGAGGAAGAAGAGGAGAAGGGAGGAGGAGGACAAGGAGGCGGAGGAGGATTTCAACAGGACCCCGTGCTGAAATGTCCCAGGGCGCCGCGCGACGAGCGACCAGGGCGGCTGCTGCTTCCAGCAGCCATAGCAGCGCCAACGGTCTGGGCCATGCCCCCGTGGCGTGCTAAGTGCGCGAAACAGGACGCGCAAGGAGACCGAGCTCCGTGCGCCCTGTTCGGGGTAGGGGGCGCCGGAGTCCGTGTTCCGACGCCCAACCTACCCACCACCCGCTCCATGGGTGGCCGCTGGCGACGAGAGCAATTCTCTCTCCCCTTGGCCCAAGACCCCCTACGGGCAAACAAGGGTGACGAACGGACTGCTGCCCGCCTGTTTTCCTGGGAAGGGGCCCCGGTGGCACAGGTGCCAAAGAGGAGGAGGAGGAGGAGGAGGAGGAGGAGGAGGGAGGAGGGAGGGAGAGGAGGAGGAGGAGGAGGAGGCGCGTCGCCGAAGCGAGAGCGACCGTGCGGCCCTCGGCGCGCGGCGTGTGCGCCCTTGGCCCGCTCCTGCCCAGGCAAATGTTGCAGCGCTTCTTTCCTCCTCCTCCTCCTCCTCCTCCTCCTCCTCATCCTCCTCCTCTCCTCCGCCTCCTCCTACCACTCCTCCTCCCTCCTCCTCCTCCTCCTCCTCCTTCTCCTCCTCCTCTCCTCCTCCTCCTCCTCCTCCTCCTCTCCCTCCTCCTCCTCCTCCTCCTCCTCCTCCCTCCTCCTCCTCCTCCTCCTCCTCCTCCTCCTCCCCCTCCCCCTCCCCCTCCCCCTCCTCCGCCTCCTCCTCCTCCTCCTCCGCCTCCTCCTCCTCATCATCATCATCCTCCGTCCGTACGCATGAGAAAACGCAGAGCCAGTATCGCGCGCGCGTAAAAGTCGGAGGGGGCCGGGGTGTAAAGCCTGTCGGCCGGTACAGGCCCCGAGTGGGAGCAGATAGCACCAAGGAGTGAGAACGGGGCAGGAGTAGAGCAGAGCCGAGAAGGGTAGAGTAGGGAAGACAAGAGTGGAGCGGGGGGGGGAGTAAAGCAGGAGAAGAGTAGAGTAGAGTACATTAGAGTGGAGTAGAGTAGAATTGAGTAGAATAGAGTAGATCAGAGTAGAGTAGAGTAGCGTAGAGTAGAGTAGTGTAGAGTAGCGTCGAGTTGAACAGAGTAGCGCAGAGTGGAGTAGAGTGGAGTAGGGTCAGAGTAGCGTCGAGTAGAGAAGAGTGGAGCACAGTGGAGTACAGTAGCCTAGAGTAGAGTGGAGTAGAGTGCATAGAGTAGGGTCGGGTAGGTAGGGCAGGGTACAGCAGAGCGTCAAAAGGTCGATGGTAGCGTAGGATCGGGTAGAACAGAGCAGAGCAGTGCAGAGCAGGGTCCGTGGTAGAGAAGACCCGGGAGGCATCGAGCGCAGCAGGGGAGGCCACAACGCAGTGCAGCGCAGAACGGAGGAGAGCAGGCTGGCGCAGCGCAGAGCAGGAGGGGAGTCGAGCAGAGCAGCGCACCCGCGGGCCGACAACAGCCCCCCACCCCCACCCGACGGGGGGCAGGCCGTGCCCGTGGCCGAGTCGCCGACAGCCCCACCACGCTCGGGCCCCCGAGCCCCCGTGCCGAGGACGAGGTGGGCCCCATGAGTGGCCCGCACTTCC